TTCTTGTCCTTAACAAGTGTCAAAGGGCTCTTTAGAGAAGGGCCTACATTAAAAAAGAAGAGTTGCTAAACCTAACTATTTATTTGAGTTGAAGAGATAAACAATGAACTGATATCAAATTGAACTTGAAGCTAGACATAAACAAAACATTGCCCAAAGTCACTGTAGAAGTCAAACAAACATCACCAATTTCAGTAACTCTAACTTTCTATTCATTTGACAATGTGATGAGGAAAGGATAAGATAATATTCTAAGGTTTGTAAGGGTATCTTTTGTGTAAGTCATGTGGTGTGATGCTCCAAAATCTATAATTTAAGAGCTAGCAGTTGATCTAACATATTTACATGGCAACACCTATCTTATTTATAGAAGAATAGCAAGCAAGTATACCTGCTAGTTCACTGATCTACCTACCATGCTTCCTAAACAATCAACTCCAACTTGCAAAGTTCCAAGCAGATTAAGTAGCTGCTCATACTGACTTTTGGACAGGTTCATTGGAATTTGTCTTCCCTGCTCACCACTTTCGTCAAAATGGATTCTATCATCCTTAGAGGCATGCACATTTACTGCAGATTCTAAGCCCTTCCCTCGTGGAGCTTTTGTGTTGTTTGGATAACCATGAAGCTTATAACAATTATCTTAGTGTGTACAGTTTGTTTGATGTAATCACAAAACAAATTTGACTTGTTCCCAGTGTTTGAATCTCTCCTAAATGTATTATTGGAGTTGTTGAGACTGCCTGAATTTCCTCTATTAGAGTTGTAGTTTGCCTTGAAGCTTTTGGATACTTAATTTTGCTGAGATGCTAGAGCAACATTTAGGGAAGTGGATTCTAAATCCATGTGATTGAGAGGATTCACTTCCCTCTATCTTTATTTGTGTGACAGTATAGCAAATACTTGTGCCATAGTTGGTAGGTTAGTCATCATGAGAATGTTACCACCTATGACTGTATATATTTAATTAAGCCCACCAGAAAATGTATAATCCTTCTATCTTGCTTGGCCTTATGTATTTTGATCTTTCCATCACAGACACATACACAAGTGCACTGAGAATTAACATCAAGTGTATTTATCTCCTCCCACAATTTCTTTATTTTAGTGTAATAACCAGTAACATCCAGAGCACCCTGCACAAGATCATTAATCTCCTTCTGCAAATGATATAGCTTACAACCATTTGTCTGATCATTTCTATCCTCTATTTCATCCCAAAGTTCCTTGGCATGATTGGCGTATTGCAAGATATCTCACAGATCTAGTGAAAGAGAATTCAGGATACATGAAGTCACAATATCGTCACACCTTCCCCGCTCCATGAAGGTTGGATTTGTAGGATATGGCTTCACAACCTTGCCATTGATAAATCCAGTTTTTCTCTTAACTGATAAAGCCCTAAGAACAACTTATCTCCACGACCTGTAGCTATTGCCATCGAAAATAGCAGGAAGCAAGGTAGAACTTGCATTCTCGAAAAGATGCAAATAAAGGAACTATTGTAATCCAATCGAATTAGAGTGTTGGAACTGGTCCTTTCAACTGGAACGTTACCCATGGAACAATGTAGGAGTATGAACAAAGTAGGTCAAAAATTAAAGTGGAGAAAACAGCAGTAAGATCGTTTAAGGGAAAAATGACAACGAATTAGAAATCGATGAAAGCAAACAGAAATCAATTACAAAAGCTCAGATGAGAAAGGAAAGAGCATGAAATGTCTCCAAGCTCTGATACCATGACAAAAATAGCAGCTCAAGCTGCAAAACTACACCTCCCTCAGCCCCCTATCCCAAGAAGAAAATGTAAAAAATAGTTTGTTTTTATTTATATAAAAAGATTAATTTATTAAAAAGTTCTTTTTTACAACCCTCCCCCTTTACCATCCCCCATCCCCTTATTAGCTAGGGATGACAATAGATCAGGAAGGGTATGAGTTGGGGCGGTTTTTGAGCTATGTAGGCGGGCGGGGTAGATTTCAATTCATGTGGGGTAAGGAAGGAAGGATAGGTATATAAAATATTTTTCATAAGTTAATGATGGTGGGGCGTGATGCATCGGTTATAATTAAAAAAAAATTAAAATAATTGAATCTTAATACTAAAGTTGATTAGACGTACAAATATATTAAAATTAGATATAAATTATTTTTCTATAGTGCCTAGTTCTTAAATTATATAATAAGTAAATTGAATATATAATAAGTAATGGCAAGTTGTTTACTGAATAAGAACTTACAATGTGAAACTTGTTTATTAGTATTTATTATTAATTGTATTTATCTAATTAACTGGTCTAATAGTTTTTCTTATCGAGTGTTAAGGTGAATTATACTTCTAATTAACATCTTCTCCGAGCCCTTGCATAGTTGATTGAGAAAATACACATTTTTTATTATTTGTATTTTTTAAGAAAAATCAAATTATGATGGCTGAGCGGGGAGGGGCGGTATGTAGAGTGGGGTAGTGCGGGTTGTTAACATTAATTTAAACTATAAGGGAAGGGGAGGGATGAGTCAAAGTCTTAGCAGATTTATGTGGTTCCTTCCCGTCCCACCTCATTGTCATCCCTATACTAGCCCCCTCCCCCACACCCGCCTGAATGTCCCTCCATCGCAAAAAAAAATAAAAAGGTAAAAAAGAATAAATTTTAACTTTTTTTAAAAAGTTTTCTTTACCACCCACCTCCTATAACTTTTCTTTCTTTTATGAATAAATATTTTTTACTCATTTAATCACCCATTTTTAAATGAGTAATATCAAATATGAATATTACATATTTTTTCTACATTTTAAATGAGTCGGGGTCAACTCATTTAAAATGGATAAGAAACGCGTAATACTCATATTTGATATGAATCATTTAAAAGTGGATAGTTAAATGGGTAAATATGAGTGGATACACATATAAATTACTCATTTTGCCATATCCCTAATTACAACTTACAAGTCACCTTACTTTAATTATGAACATACAAATTAATTACTTTCTCTATTTTAAATTAGTGAATTGTTGAGGCAATGCACATTCAGCAGGAAGAAAATTTTAGGACATAAAATAAATATTATTTTTCACCTTTTCCCTTTTTGTTATTCTCCAATTATTTTTGAAAATATAGATACTCCTTGTGTCCCTAACTACTTTGTCTACTTTTCCTTTTTTTTAATTGTCCCTAAGTACTTGTTTGTTTTGACAATCAAGAAAGGACAATCTTTTTAACCTATTGATTGGAACTTCTTCAAAATCTTATGTCTTTAATTTATCCACTTCATAATTAATAGATATAAAATAGTAAACTCACTATGTCAATCATTATTAAATAAACAGGTATGTCAATTAAAAAGTGGACAAATAATTAGGGACATGTATAGTAATTAAAAGTAAAATCATAAATAGGAGTTATTTATGATGTACGAACTTTGACCAAGATTTTGCAATGTATCTTTTCATCATATTGATATGCAAAAAATTGTAATTTATACTCGCTCTGTCTCATATTATATGTCACATTTTGGATCTCCCGAGTCAAACAAGTCTATCCTTAACCGTCATTTTTCATAGATCTTTCAAATATTTTAAACTATCAATTATTATGACTAATAGTATTTTTACGTACTTTATAAATATATAAATTTCATTTTTAAAAAATTAAGGATTTCATGCGCAAATTTTCTGTCAAACTTAAATTGTTTGACTCTTAAAACATAAAAGGTGTCATATAAATTGGGATAGAGGGAGTACTTTTAGTATAGATTTTTAATATCTATTTTTTAACAAAATAATATCTAATTAATATAAGTTAATTTAACTTTAAAAGTTAGTCAAATTGACTTTCGACAAGCACAACCTAACAAATAAAAGTGGACAAATGAAGTAGAAGATATAAATGAGGGTAAAAAATTCTAATAATTCTGTTGAACTTTAAAGAGTTTGGGCTAAAATCATCCTTGAAGTACAACACAAACTTAAGATACATACTTATTTATAAATGTGAACAAAAAATATCTTTTAACTATCCTACACTTAGCACTAATCATCCTTCTAATAAGACAGAACACATAAGCGGCCTCTTGAACTTGTCCAGATTTTTCGTATAGACACCTTAACAAGAGCTTCTTCCTATTGAACACTTAAACCACTCAAAAGTGTACCTATCAAACACACTTTTCTGACTTGTCACCTGTCGTTTGAGGCACGCCTTTTGGGTGCATGAAGTGAGAAATAAAAAGTTGGTATGTCTGATTGGCACACTTAACTGTCCAAATCTTCCCCTTTTATTTATCCAACCCTTGATTTTTCCCCTTTTCTTTTATTTCTCATCTCTTTCTTCTGCACATCTCGCCATTGTTGCTGAAAATTAAAAAAAAATCTTCAATCATCTTCTTCACATCGAAAGAAATGTCCAATTTGTCGGTTTCAACTTCTTCAGATGCAAATGTGTTATGTCGATATGGGGTAAATGCTAAATTAAAAACCTCATGGAAACAACTTAATACAAGACGTCGATTTTTTGCTGCAAAAACACAATTGTAAGCTTTTATTTATTATTCTAATAAGGTTAAACGAATCGTTGTCAATAGCTTATTATAGTTTAATTATTTAGATCATTGTGTATAAAAGAGGTGGATGCAACTTTTTTTAATGGTACGGTGATGATCTACCGCCTCAAGGAAAAAAGATCATATGGGGCCTATTGAGAAGAATCAAATCACATGAACAAGAGAAAAAATAGTCAAGAAAAAACAGGATCATATGTGTTATGTGATTTTCGCTATATGGAAATATTTATGTTAGTAGGCTTAGAGTGATTGTATCAGTAGTCTTGTGTTTCTTTCTGTTATACTGATCTTAGACTAAGGAATGGAGATAAGTTGTTCATTAATCTATCATAATTTTCTTGTTTGTTTACCTATACTCATTTCTATTCCTCTTATTCACCTCCAAACGACAATAACCACATTAAGTGAACAACACAAGAATAAGCTCCAAACAAGCATGAATTATCGACAAAAAAATCTTTGTATTTCCTTTCAAGAAAATCCACAGTTAAATCATTAGTTATAATTTACATCAAAAACATATTAAAGTAGTCTTAGTATTTTTTTCTGCGTGCATTACAGACTCAAAATTAAACAAGCCCCAAGTGTACATCAAAAACACCCAATACACATTAAAGTAGTCACACCCATGTTCTTGTTTTTGTTGCACTAGACATTTGCAGATCCACCCCTTTTGACTTGCGTTGTAATTGTGAATTGGTGACACCATATTTAACCTTCCATTTCAGTCCACGAGGCTTATAATCAATATCAATGTTGGTTGGTGCTGCACACTTGAAAACAACTGGAGTAAAAACTCTTTACCTGTTGTATCAGGTTGTATACAAAAACTAAAGTTAAGTGTCTATTATCAATGTAGGTAGATTATAAATAATTAAAGTTGATTATACTCTTACATTTAATTTTTTTTGTCATTTTTATCATCAATGTAGATTGAAAATCCAACAGTCTTAGGCCTTTTGTTTCCTCCTGTTGATGTTGATTCTCCTTCTCTTCCCATACATCTTCCTGCTTGTTGCCCTTTTGTAACAATTGAAGTATCATCACCTCCTCTCCCCCTACCTTCTCCCCTACCTCTTTCAGCTTATTAAACTCTTCCAACAATTGAAGTATCATCACAAATAGAGGTTGATTGTGGCCTGAGTTGACATGTTGTAATGGTTACCATGAGGTGGATGGCTTGAACCTACATGTTGTCCTGAGCTTGGTGGTTGGCCAATACCTACAGGTTGCCTTGAGCATGCAGGTTGCCTTGAGCTTTGAGGCTGACATGAGCTAGCAGGTTGGCTTGACCTTCCAGGTCCAGGCTGGGTGAGCTTCCAAGCTGACATGAGCTAGCACGTTGGCTTGACCTTCCAGGTCCAGGCTGGGTGAGCTTCCAAGCTGACCCAATTCAGAAGATTTAATAGTGTAAATAAGATGAAGAAAAATTGTAATGCATTTTAATTATTTAATTGAACTAATCAAAGGTTGGCTTGAGAATTATCACATATTTGCAGGCTTTATTATTGTGGCCTTAGTGATGACACTTGGAGCAAGTCATTTTAAACCTCTCCTAGACAACTTTCCATACTTCTTTCTTGGCTTATCCTTTGACTTTCTTTTAGATTTTGGTGGTCTTTCAGGCATTTATTTTGGTTTAGGAGGCTCAATCACTATATTAATAGTATGAGGCCACATTTTCATGTTAGGTATTGGCTGGTTAAAGTAATTATAAGCCTTCATGAAAGTATTTTTTCTATACCAATGTACAACATGATCTTCAGGATCTTGGCCTGCATGCTGATATGCCAAAACAACATGTTGACATGGTATGCCTCTCAACTTCTAGGTTCTACATGTACATGTCTTTTTTCTTATATCAACAGTATGCCTATAATTACCATCTAAAATTACATATCCAAATTGGCATTGAACCTAACTTGACAATCTTTAGCATAATCTTTGTTTTCTTCAAGTACTAAACTAGCCATAGGAGAAATTTCGGATATCCAAGTGTCAACAAATTTTCTCATCTCCACATTTCTATCCATTATCTTATGTCTAATCTCCTCTAACATGGTGATAATTGATTTATGTCTAGCAGCTAATATCCAAGAATTAAATTTCTCACACATATTATTCTCAACAATATCACACTTAGCATGCTCCTTAAAATATGCTTTACACCAAGTCTTTCTTTTGTAATGTAACAAGTCCCCACAAATGTTCTTATTACCAAGTATAGAAAGTTTGTCCATTTCATCTTGAAATTTTACCTCAAAACTTGATTTTGCACATCTCCGGAATTGTTTTCTTCTTTATTCTCCTCTCTAGGTCTTCTGCCAATTGGACCAGATGTGTCTAGCACATACCCTCTGCTCACAATTTGGCACCTACTTCATTACGCTGCTACAAGACCCTACATATCATAGTAATTGAAATTTATGAGTAGTTATAATTAAATAAATAGGCAATGAGATCAAAATAAATAAAATTAACATTAAACTAACATTTTGCATATCAGATATCACAATCAATACATGTCCGGTGCCTAAGTTTAGATCTTGTATCAAGAAATTGATGAAGAAACTCCAATTGTGCTTTGTTTCTTGATCAACAACTACCCAAGCAATTGGAAACATTTGTTGATTTTTATTTCTACCAACTACAACCAATAATTCACCCTTGTAAGTACCCTTCAGAAAACATCCATCAAACACAATTATTATTCTACATCATTCAAACCAACCTCTCTTTAATGCATCAAAACAAACATAAAAGTAAACAAACATATTCTTTCATGGAGTAGATTCCCTGTCTTTCCTTACCCAACATGAACTACCAAGATTAGTTTGTTTTATCATGTTTGCATAATCACACAACTTTGCAAACTCCATCTTCCAATCACCCATAAACTCCTTAAGAATCATCAATTTTGCTATATAACAAAGAGTTCTTCCAACATACAATCTTGTCTTCTTCCTCACCAACTCATGAATTTTCCACAATTTTATATGAGATTGAGAAACTATTTTATCCCTAAACTTATTTGCAATAAAGTTAAATGTATACAACTTGTTTTTGGTTGTGGTAGGCACTGATAAACAGGATAGTAGTTTTTAACAATAAAGTCACCAGAGTCTTTGTTTAGACTAGCATATAACAGCCATTTGCATTTCTTATGTTGGCATTTAACTCTGACTTTATGTTTTTCATTAGGCCTCAATTTTAATTTGACTTTATATGCCACAGCATACTCTGCTACAACTTTTCTGAATTCTATAGCATTTTCAAATACCATACCAAGCTCAAATATAACAACTACACAATCAGGATCAAATCTAACCTTTTTACTTTTTTTTTCTAGATTTCCTCAACTTCAGGATCTAATTCATCCCTACTATCATCACTATCCAGTTCTGAACTATCAATATATTGTTCCTCTCCCCCAATCTTCCTTCATACCTAGCAGTTTTGTTTCTTCCAATGTCTTCAAATCCCCTATTTACATTAGCTACTCCAAGAATTATTTCCTCTGTAGGAATTAGTTTTTTTCCTGCAATTTTATTCTCCTTTCATTTTTAAAATTTCTCAACTCTTCATCAATTTTCGAATCATCTTCATCTGGAATAAAATACTCTTGTGAATCATCACTGCAATCCCAATTAGTTTCAACACCTTCAAGATCTGATGTATCATCTACACCAACTTCAGCATTAATATTCTCATATTTGGTATCTCCTTGTTGGAACCCTTCATCCACACCAACTTTAATATCAGTATTCTCAGATTGCGCAGCTCTTTATTGGTCCTCTTAATCCACATTAATATTATGTGAGTTTTCTACCCCATTCTCATTAACACTTTCACCAATTGTTGGCCCGCAAAGATAACCTGTAGGGACACCATCTTTAACAACCTCTAGCTCATCCACAACATGTTCAACATACAAGTCCAAAAAGTTACCATCACCAAGGTCATCTATAAGCTTTAGTAAACTAAAATCATTATCCACTAAGACAAAGTTATTGCTTGTAGGGTCTTTAAAATAAAACCCACTCACAGTAACATACCCCAGATCTCTAGTATAAAAAAAGCAATTGCATTAAGGAAAAGTGGTCTTTATCGATATCTACATGTTTCACTTCACTTTCCCCTATGTTAGTGAGATCTTTACCACACGTGTCTTTAACAAATTTACTCCCATGATGAAAACGAGTTAGTATAATAATATCCATAAGATTCTGATATACCGTGGTTTCACGGTATAATTAATACCTTTTCCTTAAGGTTATTGTGTCCGAAAGCCTTTTTGTGCTAATTTTGATATAAGTTTTTCTTTGTTTTGCAGGAAATCTGTCTAAAGCTGAATGTGGAGATTTTGAGCGAAAAATGAAGAAGAGACCACCTACGGAGCTTACGACGGTCCGTCGTGCTTGTGACGGTCCGTAGGTGGCAGCGTAGAGAAGCTGCTGAAGGAAGATGGGGAAGTCTGACCAAGTGTGGGATTACGAAGCTTGTGACGGTCCGTCATGGATATGACGGCCCGTCCTGCAGGTTCGTCGTGAAGATCAGAGAAGTGATCCCAGTACCCAGATTCAAGGAGTTGAAG